GGGAGCAGCTTTTCTAGGAGAACAAGTGTTCCGCTGCTCCCCTGTTGCTGATGATGATAGATGTGTCCCGGCCTTTAGCGAGATTCCGGAAGCGGATTTGTAGTTATATTTTTGTTTTTTATCCAATGTCATACCATACATCTCACAGGTGACAGTCATTACAGTAAAAAGTGACAGAGGATAAAAATTCGAGCAAAAGAACGCTTGGCTTTTTGTGTGACAAAGCCGAGCTTTTCCACTAAGCCAGGCTTTATGAACTACGGAGAATATACAAGACATTAGCCGTACCTCGGTCACACGGCTTCGGAGTCGCGCGCATCATATTATTGTCAGTCCTAGCCAGCGTTCCAATGATCACTGATCAGCTGATTATTTGTTTATTGTTTTAAGCCCCAAATTATGTTATCGTAATCTGAAAATATGTACTTTGTGCCCTGCCCTTCCAGAAAAATTGACAATTTTTGAAAAAATTAAATTCAGGGTTTACGGTTCATGTTCTTTTCTTACAAACCTAAATTTCGGATTTTTTAAATTTTAATGTTTTTAATTCAAATTTTTTTAGCACGAATAGCTTCTTTCTTAGATAGAAAATGCAGACTAACCCAAACTAACCTGTCCATCTAGTGGGATCTAGTCCTCATAAGTTACCTACTATTTTACTTATTTAAAAAAAAAACAAGTTAATTTAGTTCAGAGCACGAGTCCCTTGACTTGAGCGCGCTTTCACTACGACGATCGGTTATTTTGGGTGGGGTGTTTGCATTTTCTATCAAGAGGGCCCCAAGGCTTGTTCTAAATAATTGAACATAAAGAGAATCTGTGATAAAGAGGTAATATTGGGTCTGTTTCTGCAGAAATCACAAACCAGTCAGAGTTAATTTCATTGGTTGAAACTAGTTTTCTGACTGTTTTCAACCAATAAAATTCGCTCTGACTGGTTTGTGATTTTTGCAGAAACAGACCTAGTATCAATTCACCAATCTTGAATCTATAGTGGAGATATTCCGTACGCCAATAGACCTATCTATTTTTACCTGTATGCGCGCGCAACACGAGGCAATGTATTTTTATTGGCTAACTAGTACAAGTGAGAGGTATTCGTTTTCCACGCTGGGCATCTCCTTATCCTTGTTCATTGCCCGTGGTCTGACGAAGGATCAGAATTATGGTTGATAAATAACTTGACATAGCTTGACAAGTAATCAATTTTCAATTGTTTGTGTTTTTGAGTGACAAATACATTGCACGTCACGCGGTTTTCCACCTTCCTTTTTTATCCCGTGCAAATAATAAGGGAGGGATTGCTATACATAAGTCTAACATGGCTTGGTACGCTTTGCCTCGTCTTGCGCAATTAGGCAATTCAAACCACGTGACATTCAAGATGGCGTGGCGGCCACACATGGGCCAAAAAACACAAAAAAATATCTAGTTTCTGCTCGAATTAATAGTTTAGGTAACTAGTCAACAAATATTTTATTAAATAATGAAAATCAAAGTTTTAAGCAAAACTGTATGCGAAATAATTTAAAATACGCATAAAAACATAATCAAAACAAACTTGCTTGGCCGCCACGCCACATTGAATTTTCCTTTTTGACAGATGGATTGAATTGCCTAATAAGCGTTCTGCGTCTTTTTCTATCTAATAAAATTTTCGTATTATTACTTCTTTGTCTGGTAAAATAGATAGGTCTATCGCCGACCTTTAAAAAATAAAGTAAAGGTCTGCCACTTGCGGATTTATATAAAATATGTAGTTTCACTACTCGAACTCGTGGATCTTGTTTTGTTTGTTGTTTGTAAAATTGGATCCAGTTCCTGATCCGTTATTTTCATAGATGAAAAAATCTCCTGGTGGAAAGAAAGATATAGATGAGTAACAATTGATGAAGAAAACACCAATATCATAACTAGCATAACAATACAAGCAAAGAAGTTAATGGTTATGTTATTATATATTAGACTGCCAAAGCCAACACCTCTCAACTTTTGTATAATTATTTAAGCTCAACATAAAGATTACATATCAAGCTTCAAACATAAACAAATAACAAATAATCAGCTGCTGGAACTGACAAACAAAGAAATGACAGGGGCGAGTTCAGGAATGACACACTCGGTGTGAGTGTGACACCGGTGCGACGCACCCGAGTGCGACGCACCCGAGTGCGACGCACCCGAGTGCGCCCACTCTGTGCCGTTCAGAAAGTACTTTGGGCGCGCTCCAGGTGTCGCACCGGTCACACCGTAATTTTTTGGTGTGGCTGCGGTGTGATTGTGTCTTTATGTCAACAATGTCAACCATTCCTCCCATAATCTCAATAATCTCACCAAATATAAACAAAACACAAATAAGAATTAAAGTTTTTCCTTCAAATTAAAAAAATGAACAACAAAAAAAAGTAATCCTAATAGATTTTGTGAGGAGATGCTCGATTGGTCACACCAAGCGTTCAGAAATTCGTACGAAAGTTGTCGCCTAAGAATTGTCATTTCAGTCACACCCATAAAATCGCACTCACACCCGGTGTGTTATTTCTGAACTCGCCCAAGAGGTAGCGCGCGACTCCGAAGCTCTATGACCGGGTACGGCTAATGTCTTAGCCGCTTTCCAGTATGCACATTGGGGCGCTCTGGCGCGCTCTAGAGCACCTCGGGGGCGCCACGCACTAGATTTGTACCGTTCCAGTATCATGGCGTGAGACGCCTGGCTTAGTGTCAAATATGTCAAATTTTAAAAATAATTATCTGTTTGTTTGTGCAGTTTGTTTTCTTATTTATCAAAAATGAAAGAGAATTAAAACTATATATTTTAAAATGTTCAATCTTGAGATATAACAAGAAATAAATAGATAAATAGCCACCCAAGGAAGTGACAGCTGATAGGTTGACACGTACGTACAGCTCGGGGGCTCAACGCCCCGAGTAGCTCCGGGCGTCACACTGCCATACTGGAAAGCGGCTCAGCCCAGGGACTCTGTGTCATGTAGAATTCTACATATCGACAGGATTCTAGGCAGTACGACATGCAATATTTTTCGATAGGTCGAATTCTATATGACACGGAGTCCCACCACACAGGTCGGAGAATATGGCCCATAGAAATCAAATTTCTGACATCTTGACAGGGGTTAACAAAGTGACGTTTTTTTGACATTTGGAGAAAAATTTAATTTCGACATTCTAACCCGCTGGGCCAAAAATAACGCACAGGGTGCGAGTGAGATTTTATGGGTGTGCCTGAATTGGCAATTGGCCATTGGGCCCATAGCACCGTCTAGCATTTTTGAACAGCTAGGGCGTCGCACCGGTGTGACACTCACACTGGGTGTGTCATTCCTGAACTCGCCCCAGGATTTGCCTCCCTAGTATAGAAATTAGGCAATTCAATCCATCTGTCAGATAGGGAAATTCAATATGGCGTGGCGGCCAAGCAAGTTTGTTTTGAATGTGTTTTTATGCGTATTTCAAATTATTTTGCTTAGAGTTTTGCTTGCAACTTTGATTTGGACTAGTTAATAAAATATTTGTTGACTAGGTACCTAAACTAATAAATCGAGCAGATTCTAGATATTTTTTTCTGTTTTTTGGCCCATGTGTGGCCGCCACGCCATCTTGAAAGTCACGTGGTTTGAATTGCCTAATTAAATTTGACTGACATCTTAAATGGGGGTTAACAAAGTGACGTTTTTGCGTCGCGTACTATCCTAACAAACCGTACCTTTATTATTCTATTCTAACCAACAACTCTCCAATATCTTCTGAACGCATCCGGAATCCGACCTTGCGTTCGGTATTTTGCTTAAAGAGCAGAGTGTGCTGAGAGGAGCCGTGACCAGCGAGCGAACAGAGCAGTTGCACGGTTCATTGGTTGAATGCTGTATCCGAGTGCGCGAAATTTCAATAAACGAACGCAAATGAGCCTGAACCGAGTACACTTTTCAAATAAACGAACTATAAATTCAAGCTCGGATTGGTTACACATGTCGGAAATATTACTTGCTCTGTCTCTAAAGCAGGTCGATTCTTCTCTGTGACCGTCCCAGAACAGCTCTGACTCTCACCCGAACGCCAAACTTCTGAATCCAGAACCGTCTGAAAGTAATTCTATAAAACCTGAACAGGAAAATCTAAACTGCGCATTACATTTCTAAAACAGTTATTTAATTTTTCCAATTTTTATCCATCATATTTCGCTGCCCTACCGATTAATCAAAAATGTCCTGATGAATGCGACCATCGCAAGAACCCGAAAGCTATCATTAGTTGTATTCCTTTCAAGAGCTTGAAACACTCGAGCTACTCGCTTCGGTGCTTAGTCGCCCCCGATTTGCAGGGACAGTTGACAGCGGTTGACAGCGGTTGACAACGATTGACAACTGGTTGCTGAAACATTCGGTTTCATACGGAACGCTTTTTCAATCGCAGAATCGCCGCCGGTTGCTTTGGTGACGCTAGCCGCTTTCCAGAGCCGCTTTCCAGTATGCACATTGGGGCGCTCTGGCGCGCTCTAGAGCACCTCGGGGGCGCCACGCACTAGATTTGTACCGTTCCAAGTATCATGACGTGAGACGCCTGTCTTAGTGTCAAATTTTAAAAATAATTATCTGTTTGTTTGTGCAGTTTGTGTTTTTATTTATCATAAATGAAAGAGAATCAAAACTATATTTTTTAAAATGTTCAATCTTGAGATTAACAAGAAATAAATAAATAAATAGCCACCCACGGATGTGACAGCTGACAGGTTGACGCGTACGTACAGCTCGGGAGCTCCAATACCCGCTCCGGGCGTCACACTCCCATACTGGAAAGCGGCTATGTTTGACATAACCAACCGCGTTCCGTATGGACCGGTTTTTCAGGAACCAGACATTACGGAACGTGTAACCGTAACCAAGGTTGGCAACGGAACCCACCCCATGTGTCATATCATGTCATGTCTCATGTCATTAGTGTCATTGTCGACACTGTCGAGTGTCGATTCATCCATCAATGAACTATGAACTGTCTTTTTTGTCTTCTTGCGACTTGGAACATCTTCCTTCTTCTATCCAATATACCTTTGAGAATATACGAAGAAAGGATCATCATTCATCAGACAGTTAAAGTGTTTCAGTCGGTTCTCTTCATCAATAATTGAAAAAACGCTAGTGAAGTAATAATGCCAACAATTTAAGTTTTTCGATCACGAGAGCTATGTTTTAAAGAGTATCAAGCCGGTTTCCTCCTAAATTGAAGGCAAATTGCTTATTGAATGATAAAACTATAAACTATATAAACAGAACAATCAAAATGGACACTCCACGCGAACCACCGCCAGCCTTAAATTTGTTAGTAACCACTGTGGAAAAGGAGCATCCCTTTCTAAAAGTGTGGGGGCAAGTCGATAAAACCAGCGTCTTGTATGTGGAACAATTTCTAATGGGAATCACGCCGCAATTCGAACAGGGCTTCTTCAAGATACCATTCGAAAATTTGCAGGTGAACGCGTTGGTATGCGTCAAATATAAAGATCACAAATATTACAGGTAAATATTGTCATTTAAGTGTTATCATTACTTTGCGCTTTTGTAGCAGAAAAGCGTAGCACAAAAGGTACTTTTATATTTATACTACTTTGTGTTACTGTAGAGTATAAAGTATCGAAACATTAATATTGATGACCTTTCTCTTTGGATATTTGTTTGCAGGTCACTTTCTAGGTGATTGTCCCTTGTATAAAAGGTAAAAGAGCATTTTCTCCTAAGATTCTGTTGAGTTCTTTCCCGATGGTATCGGTATCTATTAATTCAATTGTCCATTGATTTTGATTTGGGGGCTATTTTTTTTTTTTAATTTTGTAGCGGCTTTAAGTTAGTTTAGGAACTCAACTTTATCACAAATTATTTGTTTCTCAGTTTGAAACCGTTTCAGATGTTGAAAGTTTTTATGTTGTTCGAAGCATTGTCTTTTTATTCTAAATTCTGCATTCTGGCCAGTAGTGCATGGGTCTGGCGTCTGACTTAGCAAAGTATATTCCTTATAGAATTATGGTTGCTCTGGTTTTATCTGGGGTTTTATTTATACACCTAACCCAAACTACCTGACAAATTCGGACAATCCAATATTTTTCTGAACTCTATTTTTTCCAGGAATAACTTTATGCATCCTTTGTGTCATTTTGTGGAACCCAGATCCCCTTGCAGAACCCTCTTTTACAAGCCACCAATAAACAACAACCATTTGCTGCGAAACTGGTTTAGCTACTTGAGATAAGGCTCTTGCTCTCACACAAGATGTTTATGTTTTAAGCTATATTCTTAAATTCTTAAAACTAACCAATTGGCTCACAAATTGGGTGAATTTTTCATAAATGGCATACAAAAACTTTAGTCCGCTTTTCAATAAAACTAAACTAGCTAATCATGATAAGTATAATAATTTATAGCAATAATATTCCTGGCAATATTAACTACATTCCTTGCTAGTCGCTACATCCTCACAGTAAAAGAAATAAGATTGATTAAATTTTGCACCTAAAATAAAATTCATACTCTCAACTTCTGGTCGCTCTAATAAAATTGAGAAAAAGATCCATTACATTTTTCTACTTTCGAGTGTCAAAGAATTACCTCCATAAACGATCAATTCAAAATTCTTGTGTACCTACCTACCTACTCTTGACAATGCTCAAAGTTTTTGTTAAGTAAGTACTCTAGAAAATAAATTACTTTCAAAAACCTCCTCCTCACCCTTTATATCATTGCGCGATTTGTTATACAATTTTTAATCCAAGAACCATTAATTAACCTGCAGTCATAATTACACAGGAATCATGGATTAAATTCAAGGTTGGTGTCAAATGTATAGCTTACAAGGGTTGTTCCATCTACCAGAAAATCTTTAATGTAGACTTTTTGAAAATAAACTTCCCCATATCCTCATACTTTATTTCTTTTATTTCCCATTAACTACTCCTTTTCCGTAATTGTCCATAATTTCCTCAATATGTACATAATTCACTATATAAGTAATTATCATTTCAAAAATAGTAAGGTAATTAGGAAACAAAATTTCCCAGTATTCCCTTGAAGTGTACAGAGTTTTTACCCCTTAGAGCATGTAAAGGTAAAGGAGTAGTAACATTGAGTTGGAAAATGAAGCCGTTTTTTCCAGGTATTTTGTCACTAAAAAATGGCGGTATATGCAGTTTCAATGCTTCACCTGTATTTGGTCACTTAAGTTCCATAGCAGAATAGCATGTTCCTACTCCTTATGTTTGTAGGACAGTGCTACCTTACCTGCTCTAAGGTTTACCCCAACGTCTACCCATGTATTGACACTCCACTGGCCTTTACCTTTACAGGTAGACGATAGGTGTAAATACAAAAATTATGCAGTTCTTGCTAAATTTGTAGAATCCATCATGAGAAATTTGGAGTTTTTTGTACTTTCAAACTAAATATATTCTTGAAAAGCACAATTCTCCTATTCCAGAAATATTTAATTTGTCTGTATTTCGTTGAGCTGTCTCCAAAATATTTGGTTCCAAAAATTATACATAGGTATACTATCAGAGATATCCAGTGCCTGAAATTTACCTGCAGCTTCCACCTTTACAGGTAGAATCTCGCATAGAATGGTTCACTAAATCTAAGTCAGTAGGATAGTATTTTTAGAATTTTTAGAGCCAAATGAGACACTGCTCCAGCAAACATAGACAGACTATATATTTTTGTAATAGGAAAATTGTGTTCTATAGGATCAAATATAGGGCATCCCATTTGAATAAAGCTAGAGGTCTCTGAAATATTACATTTCTGACATTCAATTTTTGTGTCTGACTGACCATGGATTCTAAAAATTGAACCAAAACCACAACTTTTGTATTCCCACCTTTCTTCTATCTGTAAAGGTAACAGCTGCAAGTGGGGTTGTCAATATGTGGGGAAACACACAGGTAAAGGAAGGAAACCGTTTTTTTTTTCCAGGTTTTCTGGAACCAAAAAATGGCGGTATAGGCAATTTCAATGCTTTACCTACCTGTGTATTTGGTGCCAAACACCTGCCAAAAACTTGGCTTCACTTTAGTTTCATAGCAGAATGGCGCGTTCCTACTCCTTAGGACAGTGCTTTACCTGCTCTAAGGGAAACACCCTGTACACTAAATTACCCCATTGAAACACCCGATAGCTTATGAAAAACAAAGACAAGAATCTAAAATCGGTTTTGCTCTAAAATTAATCGTTTCATGTTAACAGCCTTTTCAATTTGCAAAAATGTCAAGTTTTAACTATCAATATTTCTGATCCTAAGGGCGACCCTTTTTCTGAAAATTGAATAATTATCAATTGCCAAAACTTTAGGGTAAGGATTGGTAGTAGCCGTTTTTTGAGGTTAGTGACTTGGTATTAACCATGAATATGTATTTGCATCAATCAATCAATCAAAATATACTTTATTGCCGTAAAATAAATTTCATTGACAAAGCATGATCTTAAATAATGTGCAAGTAATTAAAAATTATCGGGTTATAAAAAAAAGAGGTACAATCAATAAAATAAAAAATAAACATTAATATAAATGTCAAAGCATAATCCTAAGCAATACATGTACAATTTTTACTACATCAAACTATAGAGTCATATATAGAAGGTACAGCCAATACAGAAAAAACATAAAGGTTGCGGTCAGAACAAAACAAAACAATGAAACAAACAAAATTAAAATTTTTCATTTAAAAATTCATTAATATGATAGTAGGCTTTTTCATGTAAAAATGTTTTGAGCTCTAGTCCAAACTTTTTAAAACCACCTATCTGCCTTAAGTTAACAGGCAGATGATTAAAATTCATCTTAACAAAATATTAAACCAAATGTACTGTAGTCACGCACAAAATATCTGCAAAGGTAGCAGTGCTGAGCGGCTGAAAAGCCGAAATCTACAATCAAATGTACTGTACTGGAGCCTGTACCTACTCAAATTCACCCGTTTTTAAAATAATGGGGCAAGAAATAAGGTAGTCGGCTTTAAAAATTATAGAATAATACATTTTTCGAAAACAAAAGCAAGTCAGGTACAAACTCGGGTGAAGAGATTGGATTCCTAGAGTTTCAAACATTTCATTATCTTTATTTATTTATTTATTGACGGGTCAAGCCCATGTTTTTCACCCACGTTTTATACATGATCAAAGATATGCTAGACAGGATGCCAAAGTGATGAGAAATGCAAAAAAAAAACGCTTATCTCGAGGCCGCGGCGTTTGCATTTGACTGTTGCAATGCAGGTTTTAATCATGAGATTCTGCTGTGCAAGTGGGTATTATAAAATTATTTTGACAAAAAAAAAAATGTTAACTTCTGGAATTACTATGTTATGTGACGTTATACCGAGCGTTATACGAGTTTTAGTTATGGGCCTATTCGGGTTTAAGAAAGGGACGGTTCTAGAACAGTTCAAAACAATCGCACAGTTCATCAATCAACAAAACAACAACAGCTCGGCTATCACAAATTTCAATAATAAACTGTGCGATTGTTTTGAACCGTTCTAGAACCGTCCTTTTTTCGAACCCGAATATAGCTAATTTGTCAAAATAGTTTTATAGTACCGACCCTCAAAGTTTTGCTGGTAGTATCTGGAAATGACTGAGAAGCTTCTTGGAAGAAAGTTTTCAGAGCGTATAATTCAATGTCTTGGAATTGGATAATAGTGTAGGAGTCAGTAGGAGACTTAAGCTAATAAGGCTTGGGATTCCTCAGTGTGTCATTCTTGAACTAGTGTAGTCTTTAATTTATATTAATGACTTGGACGAAATTTCTGGGAAATTCAATCTCTTTGCTGATGATGCAACGATCTCATGACACAGCAGCTATGTTCGGAGCCCGTGTGTGGTATCTACTATTTTTTCTCAATAAAAATATGGAAACTTTCTCTATTTAATCAGTTTCTAAGTGCCTCGTGAGTGCCTCTTTCATTTTCATTGACATTTCAAGGTTTTGCAGATGACTATTTAGGTACTACTATTTCAATAATTTACTTTTATCTTTATCTCTATTTTTAACCTGAATATTTTTACCTGATAAACAAATTTTACTTTATTTATAATATGCATGATTTTTTTCTGTAATATTGTAAGTTGTTTAAATTTTTGCATGCATCAAAGGTTCACGATTTTATTTTGGCATTATTTACATGGTGCAATTGGTGCATGGTTGATTTTCATGTTTTTATGCTATCTAACCAGTTCCCTATTCTATATTAGGATTTCAGTGATTTTGCTTTGATTTATTCAGAGTATAAAACACACATTTTTCCTTGAATCTGTATCCATAGGAGCTATTTTTATTTTGCTGTGTTGCCTTAATTTTCACTCATTTGATTTTTGAATTCACTTTCAAAATTACTTTTTTTGTCATTGAACATCCAGAATTTTACTATGAGTTGCCAATAAGATTTGTCATAGCTGATCACAATTCACAATGTTGACTATAAGCAAAATAATATCCAAATTAATAAAGAAGAAGAGAATGCCAATGAACCTGG